ATTGTGGTTGACGGTAATATTACTGTTGTTATAGTAATATTACTGTCACTCACAGTAATATTAATTCTTTTGGTTTTTTTTACTATGTTTACATTTGTTGAACGGTCAACATAGTAATATTACTCTGTTACACAATAATAATGAGTTTTGCCGTGTTAATATTACTGTGCTAGAGATTAATATAGCAATATTATTGTGTTAAACTGTAGTTTAGTTAATTTTACTGTGCTTAGTAAGATAGTTAATATTACTGTCAATGACAGCAATATTGTTGTTTAAACGAAAAAAAAAGTTACAGAAAGAAAGAAAAAAAGAAAGAAAAGAAAAATCGAAAAAGTCAACCCCAAAAATCGGCGAAAAAATCCGGAAGAAAAAAAAAAATGAAAAGTCAACGCCGGAATCCGGCGGGAAAAAAAATTGAAAAAAAAATATTTGGGTCAAAATTGAATAATTTGTGATATTTGGGGTCAAATTGAGGTTAAATAAAGTTAAGGATGAAATTGAATCATATTAAAGTATGAGGGGTTATTTTAGTCCTTTACAAAAATCTGGACCATGTATGGACTTATTGATAAAGAGTTTTTTGTCTGGATCTCCTTATGAATAAGTACCCTTTGATGGACTTATTTGTAAAGACCCTATTTGTTAGCTTCCCCTACTTTCACATTACATGGAAATATTCATAGTAGCCTTCTACGCACCTAGTACAATATGTTTAGATATTTTGATTAATGTTGTAGAATATATATATGGAACTTACATTGCAAAATGTAATTATGAATATTATATTTGTTACATTCTACGGATATATATATATATATATATATATATATATATATATATATATATATATATATATATATATATACACACTAGGGTAGAGCACCGCGCAATGCGCGGTGCCGGTGACCTGTTTACATATTTTTGTAAAATGTGTTTTTTTATGCAAGCGTGAGTTTGAAGGGGACAACGAGATGCTACGTCGAAGTTTCTCCCATTTCCTGGTCAATATTAGAAGACTGAATATAAGGATCACATTAAAACGAAGCATTGTACATTGTGAGACGGGCTATGAAATAAGAGATAATATTGATATGTAAAAAGGTAAAAGACCAAAAATTAAATTTATTAATGATATAGAGTTGATGTTATACAAGTTAGTATTCTATGATATGTAAAGAATAAAATGTCCGTACATGATCATTGCGGGACTCATTGTTGCAATGGATGATACTGATTTATCCCAAGTTTATTATAAATAATTTAATAAATTAAAGTTTTCTTAAATCGTAAATCGTAAAATTTGATCGATTTGTTGATTTTTAAGATTTATTTGAACATTTGAATCGACATAGGTATGAATAAATTGGATCGTAAGATTTGAATCGTAAATCATAAGATTTTTAGCTCGGTGTTGCAAATTTTCGTAAATGAGTCGCACGCGATTACAGCCGAGGAGGAGTCGAAGCATGTTGCGTTAGTGGCGGATATTACGGATATTGCAAGAGAGATCCACTTTGGGGTTAAATTTGCAATTTGGGTGGAGCTGGTGGAAAGATGGAGTAAGTATAGGGGTGATTTTGCAATTTTCAGAACTGTTTCAGTCAAGGAGGTGGGTTTCGAGAAATTAAAAATTAACCCCCACTTGGGGGCATTACCGGTTTAGGGACAAAAAATAAAAATGTTATATAATACATGGGCCAAAACTGTAAATATCCGAAGTTTATAATAACTAATATAGTAAATTAAAGTTTTCTTAAATCGTAAATCGTAAAATTTGATAGATTTGTTGGTATTGAAGATTTATTTTAACATTTGAATCGACCTAGGTATGAATGAAATAAATCATACAATTTGAATCTTAAATCATAAGATTTTAGGCTCTGTATTGCATTTTTTTGTAAATGATCACACATGCCGCGTTGGTGGCGGATATTTCGGATATTGCAAGAGAGATCCACTTTGGGGTCAAATTTGCAATTTGGGTAGAGCGGCCGGGAAGATGGAGTAAGTATTGGGGTTATTCTACAGTTTTCAGAACTTTTTCGGGTAGAGAGGTGGATTTCTAGAAATTACAAATTGACCCCGACATTGGGCGCATTTCTAGTTTTAGAAAAAAAATACAAAATGGTATATAATATAGGGACCAAAACTATAATTATCACAAGTTTATGATAAATAATATAATAAATAAAATGTTTCTTAAATCGTAAATCGTCAAAATTGATCGATTTGCTGGTATTTAAGATTTATTTTAACATTTGAATCACCTTATGTAAGAATGAATTGAATCGTGAATCATAAGATTTTAAGCTCGGGATTGCAAAATTTCCTAAAGGAGTCACACGCGATTACAACCGAGGAGGAGTCGAAGCATGCTGCGTTGGTGGCGGATATTTTGGGTATTGCAAGAGAGATCCACTTTGGGGTCAAGTTTGCTATTTGTGTGGAGTGGATGGGAAGATGGAGTAAGTATAGGGGTGATTCTGCAATTTTCAGAAATGTTTTAGCCAAGGAGGTGGATTTTTGTAAATTACAAATTGACCCCCATTTGTGGGGAATTGCCGGTTTTAGGACCAAAATTAAAAAATTGTATATAGTGTAGGGATCAAACTTATAATTATCCCAACTTTATTAAAAATAATATAATAAATTACAGTTTTCTTAAATCGTAGATCGTAATATTTGATTGATTTGTTGATATTTAAGATTGATTTTAACTTTTGTATCGACTTAGGTATGAATAAATTGAATCGTAAGTTTTATATTGTAAATCATAAGACTTTAAGCTCGGTATTGCGAATTTTCGCAAACGGGTCACACGTGATTACAACTGAGGAGGATTCGAAGCATGCTGCGTTGCTGGCGGATATTTCGAATAATTCAAGAGAGATCCACGTTGGGGCCAAATTTGCAATTTGGATGGAGCGGAAGTTGGAGTAAGTATACGGGTGATTTTACAATTTTCAGAACTGTTTCAGCAAGGGATGTGGATTTCCATAAATTACTGATTGACCCCACTTGGGGGGCATTTCCGGTTTAAGGACCAGAATTAAATATTATATATAGGGACCCAATCAGTAATCATCCCAAGTTTATTATAAATATTATAATAAATTAAAGTTTTCTTAAACCGTAAATCGTAAAATTTGATCGATTTGTGCTATTGAAGATTTATTTTAGCATTTGAATCGACTTAGGTATGAATGAAATGAATCGTACGATTTGAAGCTTAAATTAGTATTGCGAATTTTCGTAAATGAGTCACACACGATTACAGCCGAGGAGGAGTCGAAGCATGTTTCTTTTGTGGCGGATATTTCGGATATTGCAAGAGAGATCCACTTTGGGGTTAAATTTGCAATTTAGTTGGAGCTGGTGGGAAAATGGAGTAAGTATAGGGGTGATTCTGCAAATTTTAGAAATGTTTCAGTTAGGGAGGTGGGTTTCGAGAAATTACAAATTGACCCCCAATTGGGGGCATTACCGGTTTAGGGACAAATATTACAAATGGTATATAATACAGGGGCCAAAACTGTAAATATCCGAAGTTTATTATAAATAATAAAATAAATTAAAGTTTTCTTAAATCGTAAATCGTAAAATTTAATAGATTTGTTGGTATTGAAGATTTATTTCTATATTTGAATAGGCCTAGGTATGAATGAAATAAATCGTACGATTTGAATCTTAAATCATAAGATTCTAGGCTCGTTATTGCGATTTTTCGTAAATGAGTCACACATTGTTACAGCCGAGGAGGAGTCGAAGTCGGCTGCATTTCCATAAATTATTAATTGACATCCACTTGGGGGCATTTCCGGTTTAAGGACATAAGTAAAAATGGTGTATAATATAGGGACCCAAAGAGTAATCATCCCAAGTTTATTATAAATATTATAATCAATTAAAGTTTTCTTAAATCGTAAAATTTGATCGATTTGTGCTATTGAATATTTATTTTATCATTTGAATCGACTTAGGTATGAATGAAATGAATGGTATAATTTAAAGCTTAAATTATAAGATTATAGGCTTGGTATTGCGAATTTTCGTAAATGAGTCACACGTGATTACAGTCGAGAAGGAGTTGAAGCATGTTGCTTTTGTGGCTGATATTTCGGAAATTGCAAGAGAGATCCACTTTAGGGTTAAATTTGCAATTTTGGTGGAGCTGATGGGAAGATGGAATAAGTATAGAGGTAATTTTGCAAATTTCAGAACCGTTTCAGTCAAGGAGGTGGGTTTCCAGAAATTACAAATCGACCGGTTTAGGGACAAAAATTACAAATGGTGTATAATACAGAGGAAAAATGACAATTTAGAACGTAATTTTCAAAAATATAATTGTTATTATATTAATGAATTATCATAATTTATAAGAGAGCAGCCTACAAACCTGGACCAACAACAAATGCCGAGGTCGAAAATTTTTATGCGAACGGATCCTGGGCTGAGGCGCAGAAGAAATCGTGTGGGATGAGGGGTGAGGGGAAATCGTCCGGATGGGGACAATTTTTGAGGACGATGGTACAGGGGAGCCAAATTACAGCCCGGTAGAAATTATTTAATACGTTCACAGCCATTTTTTCCGCCTCTAAAATAGTTGACGCTTCTTTCTCCGGCCACCTCTTCCTTCTCTCCTTGAAGTGCAGTTGCTGACTCCTAACCCGGCACAGATGGCCCTTTTTGTTGTGTAAAGCTCAAGGGCTAAGCCCTACCCGGCGTCGCCATTTGGTCGGTAATTTAATTAGTTTTCTAATTTTAGTCAGCGCTGTCGGCTTCTCGTACGGTGTAATTGCGGACTCCGGCGACCTCCGCTGCTAACCTTGCAATCACGCGTTCGAATAATTCATTGTTTGATGGCCATCTCCTTTCTTCCTTTGCGGTGGAGGTATATCTTTCGTAATTCTGTTTTGGGAAGGAAAAAAACAGAAAAGAACAGCAGGAGGGCCACACACGTTTGACGGATCTTGGTCGAAGCAGGTGAAAAGAAAAGAGGAAAGAAAAAAAATTTATGTCGCAGAACGGATAAAGACAGTGAAAAATATTAAATATGTGCAAATAAAAAGATATACATACGCATTAACCAAAATAGCCATTGGAAATAATTTTATGGCGGAACTTTGCGGAATATTATTGTTACGACCAGGTAACCAGACCCAAGAGCCAGCTGAGGGCGGTCAGTAAGCTCCAAGAATGTGAAGAAACAAGGAGTCAAAAACCACCTATGGAATTGAAGAATTATAGAGGCCTTTTACGGGGCCTGATTAAAGTGGACGCAAAGGAAAAAGAGGTGTGAAGAAAAAATTAATCAAAGCGAACCTGGTGGTGGTTGCTGAAGAAACAAAACATCAGCAACCCTATTTTGAAAAGAATCGTGAGCAAAATTTAGAGCACAATAAACATCCGTAATTTCGGAACCGATAAAAATAAACTCAATAAAAATGAAGTACATTGAGTAACAGAAACAAGAACGCATTTCACCTCTGTTAAATCTTGGCTGTCATATAATGCAGCCTGATTTTTTCATTGCGAGTCGTACAATTTCTACAAACATCAAAACAGCAATAAGATATTAAGTTGAAATAATCAAAACATATACGAAAACCTAAACGAACCAATGTAAGTCGTAAAAAGAAAATATATATATAAGAGCCGTAAAGCAAAAGAAGTCGTTGGACGCGCAAAGGTACTCTTCGGAGTGGCAACATCAACAAACGTGGCCGAACTCAAATCCGTCTCAGAAATCACTCGGCCGAATAAAATCAAGTGTACTAAGTAAATGTCACCAGCAAAAGTGAATGTAATTCTCGAAGAAAAACATATACGAAAACCTAAACGAACCAAAGTAAGTCGTAACACAAAAAAATATATACAAGAGCCGTAAAGCAAAAGAAGTCGTCGGACGCGCAAAGCTAATTTTCGGAGTGGCGCCATCAACAAACGTGGCCGAACTCATCTCCGTCTCAGAAATCACTCGTCCAAATAAAATCAGGTGTAAAAAGTAAATGTCACCAGAAAAAAATGAATGTAATTCTCGAAGCAGCAAGAAACCTGTATATGAACAGAGAGACCAAGAGCAAGCCGAAGCTGGAAAACAAAAAAAGGGCAAACCTGTAAATGAGTAAAGAGACCAAGGCCTAGCCGAAACACAAGAAAGCAATTCCAGATAAAGTAGCAACAATACATGCAAAAGTTTTTGAAGAACTTGTTCCCTCTTGGCAGATTCGCAACCAAAAAACAATAACCAATTACAATTTCAAAGAATAAATTGTAAATAATAAAATTCCAAATCGACAAAATTCTGTCAATAAAATTACTCTCCGATTAAAAAACATTAAATAATGCTAAACCTTTATTTTTTTGTTATTAGATAAATTTCATACCACAGCAGCTGTAAGAGTGCTCGCATTGTCCCTTCCTAAAAAGTCACGAGAACAGCTTTCAATAGTCTGCGACAAACCACATTGTTCATTAACAAAAGTTATCGAATAAATAAACAATAAATTAAATAAAATCACAATATACCATTCTAATAATTTGGTGGGATCTCGAGCTCATTTCATTAATCGACGTTTCTCCAACTTTTCTTTCAGCTGCTAGGATTAACAAAAATGATGATTTTGTACTCTTAAGCCTTGTTTGGCAATCGTGATTAGGCATGATAGACAATATAATCAAGCTTTATCGAATGTTCCCAAACGAGGCCCTAAGAAATCTAACAGTCGTTTTGATTAGGAGCAATGGTTCCAAATTATCAAGAATTGAAACAATGGAGTCAAGATATTAAATACGAATTAAATATATCAGTTTTCTTATTTCTTACCTTCACATATACAAAGGAGATGAATCACATGACTCCAGTCCCTTAATATCTCCTCAGTCAGCTTCTCGACTGTGGTTTCTCTCTGGCGAAATAAGTACGATAAGCGAAATCGGAAATAACAAAATTAAGAAAAAAAAATTACAATTGAGCCAAATCGCTTGTCAATGAAAAAGAATTCACCTCTGTATCATCGAGAAGTCTTAGTGGAGTGTTATCTACACTGAGTAGATCTCTCACCAATTCGTTGTAGATCTCCATAGCAGAGAATTTGAACACAAAATCTCTTTCTTGGTGCTGAAAAATCCCTCGATTATTATAAAAAAATAAGCATAATCTGCAAAAGAAATACGAATTATGAAGTACAGTTTCATCCTACCTTCTGTATGTATCCATATATGTCAGGTAGTGCGTATTCAGTTATTCCAATCATCGTGTACGTCTTTCCGCTGCTCGTCTGTCCATACGCAAAAACACGTGCTAAAAAAAATCATCTTTGGTTCGAATAAATAATATGTATTTATATTACATGAATCCAAAAATATAAGAAAAGAGAGAAACTAAACTCACAATTGATTCCACTAATAACCGAAAGCGCAACATCCTTAGCTCCCTGTTCGTACACTTCTCTCGTCGAGCAACCACAAGTGAAAAATTACGAAACCGAAAAATGTTCTTTCACAATTGCTTGCCGCAAAAGCTTAAAAACACAGTACACCGTGGAGCTGCTTGGAACGTAAATGAAAAAGAAAATAATTGCGGATGCTGATTGGAGGGGAAATACGAAACGGTGTTAAATATATATAATTAGAATTCAAATGGATCTTCCAAGACCTCCATCTTTAATGTCATTATCTGCCCGTCCTCTTATAAGTTATAACGAAATAAATTAACAGAAATGGCTTCAAAAAGAAAACAAATAAATAAGCGCACACCTTGCCGGAGAGGAACGAGGAGGTCGGAGCAAAAGCAGATGAAGCCATCAGATGTTGTCTGGGCAGAAAAGGTCGATATGGAAGGAGAAGCAGAATGGGGCCTCTGCAATTAGAATTAACAGAACCACCAGACCCTCCTCTAATAAACACAGTCTTGAAGCCCCTTTTACGGCGCAATTTGCAAATCTGAAACTGACCCACAAAATTAGAATCAGAACTACAAAAACCCTAAGCGAAAACAAAAGAAAAAAGCACAGACAAGATAGATACGTAATTAGAATCAGTACGCTTAACGAGTGTTTAACATGAGTTTTCCAGTAATTAATGAAAGGGTCAACAATTGTTGGCGTTGAAACGACGTCGTTTTCGCGGGAGCAGATTAAAAGAAAAGTGAAAATCAAGCTAGCACGTCGTGGTCGAGCTGCTCGAAAAATAAAAGGAAAAGAAAAGAATTTTAGAAGCTGATTGGAGAGGGGGACGCGAACGGCTATAAAAACCATCAAAATAAAGAATATAATGCAAAGCTAATTTACTCACCAACTTCACTCTACTGATACATATATACACCTTCATATATGTGTCAGTCCAGAAATACTTCCACACACCACGGCATTTCAGTCGCTCTCTAATATTTAATGAAATGTGAGAATGCAGGGCGTGGGTGGTGGGCATCGAAGGAAGAAAGGTGTTGCGGGGCTATAATCGATTTTCAGTGGCAGGAAGAGGTTGCAGAATCTTAATCCAACATCATATAATTCCCTGCACCAAAAGAATATAAATAAAGAAAATCGCAAACTCAACATAATAAGAAATTCAAGGAACATACAGCTTCTACCTGAAATTTATTTATACCCCTCTAAAACATTTGTAAAACCTTCATGTGCATTGTCATTAGGCTAACCATCTCCCATTATACAAAGAATCTAGATACTGAAGATAGGAATACATATTTCATAATAATAATAATAATAATAAAATCTTGATATAGGCTAATACCTATCAGTGCGAGCAAAACGTTCTTCGACGACATAACCATCACCGGTAGCTCCCTCAGCTTTCCCTTGGAAGTTCATTTTTCCTATCAGAGCCATAGACACGTAAAATGGCATAATTTACTTTTACTGTTCCTAACATCGAATAAAATACGAGAAGCACAAAAATTACCTTCAAACAGTTCCTGGGCCGAGGCAGTTTCGAGGTCACACACTGCAGACATCGCCTATTTCGTACCGCATGCCTTTATTCCGGTAGCCTTTAACGGAGGTTAGAACGACGGTGCATCTGAAATAGTTTAGTAGCTCTCTCCTGTCGAACAAAAAGGGTGGTGAATGGACCATTGTCAAGAACATAAATCCCAGAATGTAGCTTTGATGCTAACTTTTCACAATTTATTTTTTATACAAACAGTTACATAGCAACTACAGGGATAAAAACAGTTAGACCCATACAGTATGAAGATTACTGACTACATGTTTGTCTTCATGATTAAAGAACTGTAAATTACTTTAGCATTTTTTATTTAAAAACATGTCCACAGAATATTATTAACTAATCCCATTTGTCTATTAGCAATAGAAAAGTATAATATTAATTATAAATCTCATTGGCTTTAACAAGCTCATCTCCATAACAAGCCGTCAATATTGACAAGAAACATATTTGATATACCAGATCACAAATATATAAATAATAAATTATATATTAAAGAAATTATAGTATGCAAGTATTGATTTTTCACTGCAAAATTATATTGTCGAAAACAGAGAGAAAATAAATTGTTTTTAGTTCTTCAACACTATGTTTTTGATTGAGGATATCAATACCTATAAATAATGGACAACACATTTCAGCAAAGTTGCAGCCTAAAAAATAATCTTCTTCCCAATCAACATATAACAAATAAACAGAATATTCTATTCCCCATAGTCAAAACTATAACGAGATCAGTAAACAATTAAATCTTCTCTTAATGGAGGAATAATTTGCTTAAGGCACCTAGGTTTTTTTTTCACACTACGGCAATCAACATCATCTTTGTTAGTTTGTCTACTCTTCAAACTCTTCCATTATTTCCATATAGCATTGGTCGGACAAGTAAAAGGCAGCCACATAAAAAGTAAAGAAAATAATGGGATTCACCTTTTCACGTTCTGACTTCTGAGAGAGTCATTCCAACTTCAAATGAGGCATAGGACCACGACCCTTCTCAGTCACGGACCTCGAAATCACAGCCAGCCTACAATCTTAGCGACGGCGACAAGCGGCGAACGAAGCGGTGAACGAAGCGGCGGCAGCGGGGGGTCGACAATTGTAGGTACGTGAAACTTGTACAACCCATGAATTACTGACCATGCTGCCTGCGTCCAGCAACCTAAAACTATACCAAAATAAACCAAGGCTTCCTCAAAGGGGCAACCTACGAATGGCAGTACAACATAAAAAATAAATTCATGGATTGGTACCTCAACAAAGGGGGAGAAAGTTGCAGCCTCATATGTATGGTTGGAAGAGGTCGTCGAAATCAATGAAGAAAGAAAGCGGCGGTCAGCAGCGGTGGGGGTGCAGCGGCGGCAGAAGGAGGAGAAGAGAAAGGGGAAAAAGAACGAGATTCAAGTACAGAGGAATTGGGGTGAGAAGGTCGGTGCAACATTGGATGGAGACAGTGTAAGAGTAATGGAGAGGAAGAGGGATTTGGTAAAGAAGTAAAATTTGTAAGCCATATCCACATATGGTGCTGTCATCTCAAAAGCAGCAATTCAGGCAGCCCCGGCTTTACCATTAGGCAAACTAGCATTTTCTTCCCGTGCGATGCACGGAATCGGATTTTAAAAGTAAAAAAATTCGATCAATTTAACAAATCGAATTTTATTTTTATTCTTAAGATTTGAGATATACATATATTGATGAAAAATAGGAGATTGAAACCGGAACGATTATTCAGAGTTCAGTGTTAATTTTGATAATTGTTGAAAATATAATTAGAAAATTAGTACAAAAACATATTAAAAATAAATAATTACAAAAATGCCTAATTAGGGTTTCTTAGGGGTTGCCCAGCGTTTCTTTCTTTTATATACCGGAACGATTATTCAGAGTTCAGTGTTAATTTTGATAATTGTTGAAAATATAATTAGAAAATTAGTACAAAAACATATTAAAAATAAATAATTACAAAAATGCCTAATTAGGGTTTCTTAGGGGTTGCCCAGCGTTTCTTTCTTTTATATATAAGATGAGGTAATTGCCTAGGGCCCCCAATTTTAGGGGCCCCACCTAGGTACACACATTATATATATATATATATATATATATATATATATATTATTATATATTAGTTTTATGTTATATTTAATATATATTAATTAAAATTTGCTCACATAGAATTCTCAATCAACGGTAAAAAAAAAAAAAAAAAAAAATTATTTCCTTAATTTACTAGGTCCACTTCACACAATTCCACGGTTTTATCTATCCTACACCCGGTGAAGGTTACACCGGGTGATTTTTTACCGTTGATCTACACATACCAATGTGGGTGTGTGTGTGTTTGTGTGTATATGAATGGTAAAGATCTACCCGGTGTATTTCACCCGGTGTAGGATCTCAAAAGCCCAATTCCACTATTCTCTCATCATATCCCATGAATCAAGGCTTTTCAGTTTTCTTGAATTCACGTTATATTCTTCTAAATCAATTTTTTTTCTCCCTCACACTTCTCCCTCTTCTTCTTCTTCTCTCTGTTATTCCCCGTAAAAAAAAAATTCCACTATTCTTCTTCTTCTCTCTCTTCTTCCATAAAAAAAAAATTCCACCAAAAACTCTTGCCACTCAACGTGAATCACACAACAAAATCTCAAGATTTTTTTCTTTTCTTTTTGTTTGACGCTTTCTTTTATTTTTTTTCCTTATCATTTTCTTTAAGTATATCTTTCTTGTTTCTACTTTTTTTGCAGGTAATTATTCAGATTTTATTTTGTTGGCTACTAGGCTTCGAACTTGCAATTTCCAGAATTTCCGCAAATAAAAAGAAAAAAACTTGCAATTTCCAGGTTCTATTGTTTCTACTTTCTTAGGATTGCTAATCTCCGTTTGCTTTATTATGTCGAGTGGTAGACATTACATGTCTGGTTGTCAAAAAAGGAAAAGACAAGAAAAACTAAAGAAAGATGATGACTCTCAAAGAGGAGTTATAGAAAGATTATTTATGAATAGGAGGAATCATAATGCTAGAAACGAACATGAAATTCCTATGAATGCCCAAAACGATAATCCTAATGATGTTCAAAATGATAATAATATTCTTAATATTCAAAATGATAATCTAATTGTTGTTCCAGTTGATAATCCTACTAATGATCAAAATGAAATTCCTATGCGAGAAGAAAATGAAAATAATGTTAATAATTCAAATGAAAATATTCCCATGGATCTTAATGTAATTGAAGAAAATGCCAACTTTCTTGATAAATTTGATCCGGCAAATTGGATCAATATAAATACAAAATTACGAGATTTACTAGTGGAAAAAGGTCCTATTAGAATTACTAATATAGATTTTCCAAAAGATCGTGATGGTAGACATTTCTCTATTTCAAGTTATATTCGAAATTTACCTAATGGAGAGAAATATGATAGGAGATGGCTTGTATATTCAAAAAGTGCAGATAAAGTATTTTGTTTTTGTTGCAAGTTGTTTAGCATTAAAACTCCTCCAAGTAAAATTTTTGGTGGCGGAGTTAATGATTGGAAAAATATTAGTACTATATTAAAAACTCATGAGACATCTAGTGAACATATTAATAACATGTATGATTGGATGAATTTAGAAACAAGATTGCGAAGCAATAAAACAATTGATCATAGTATACAAGAAAACATAAAGAGAGAAAAGGAACATTGGAAACAAGTATTGAAAAGAATTATTGCCGTTGTGAAAACTTTAGCTAAAAATAATTTGGCTTTTCGTGGGACAAATGAAAAAATTTATGACAATAACAATGGAAATTTTTTAAGTCTAATTGAAATGATTGCAGAATTCGATCCTATAATGCAAGAACACCTTAGACGCATTAAAGATAGGGAAATACATATTCACTACCTCGGGCATAATATACAAAATGAATTGGTGCATATGTTAGCTTGTGAATTAAAAAATAATATTACTAAGAGAATTAAAATGGCTAAATATTTTTCTATTATACTTGATTGTACTCCGGATACAAGTCATCAAGAACAAATGTCTCTTATTTTAAGAAGTGTGAATGTATCTATGAATCCAATTCAAATAGAAGAATATTTTATAGATTTTTTAAAAATAGATGATACAACGGGAAAAGGTATTTTTGATGAACTTCTAAATGTAATAAAAAATCTTGAACTTGATATTGATAATGTGAGGGGTCAAGGATATGATAATGGTTCAAACATGAAGGGTAAAGAACAAGGTGTGCAAAAAAGATTGTTAAATATAAATTCTAGAGCATTTTACACTCCTTGTGGTAGCCATAGTCTTGATTTAGTAATTTGTGACATGGCCAATTCTTGTCATAGACCTATATCTTTCTTTGGAGTCATACAACGTATATATACTATATTTTCTAGTTCCACAAAAAGATGGAAAATATTGACGGATAATGTAAAGAAATTAACTGTTAAACCATTGTCACAAACACGGTGGGAAAGTCACATTGAAAGTGTTAGATCCATCCAAAGTCAACCTATCGAAATAAGAGATGCTTTGATTGAATTGGGAGAAACTTCCTTAGATCCTAAAATAAAGAGTGAAGCTAAATGCTTAGCCTCTTATGAGATTGAAAATTTTGAATTTTTACTTAGCATGAATATTTGGTTTGAATTATTACATGCCGTTAATTGTGTTAGCAAAAATTTACAATCTAAAGATATGCACATTGACTCCGCTATGGATCACTTGCAAGGTCTTGTATCATTTTTAGAGGATTTTAGAGAAAATGGGTTTGAATTAGCTATTAATGCTACTAAAGAAATTGCTTTAAAGATGGGAATTGAACCATTATTTCGAGAAAAACGTGTGATGCATAGAAAAAAACAATTTGATGAAACTCAAAGTAATGATACTATATTATCACCCGAAGAATCATTTAGGATAGAATATTTCTTATATATCGTAGATCAAGCTATCTCTTCAATTAAAGCTAGATTCGAGCAGTTTAAACAATATCAAAATACATTTGGATTTTTATTGAATATAAAAAAATTAAAGTCTTTAGATGATAACACTTTGAAAGAAAATTGTATTAATCTTGAAAATTCTTTACAACATAACTCATTATCTGATATTGATGGTTCGGATTTATATTATGAATTAAAAGTGTTAAGAAAAGTCATACCTTCCGAAATAGATAAGCCAATTGATGTACTTAATCATATAAAAGTTATTGATTCTTATCCTAATACGTGTATATGCTATAGAATAATATTTACAATACCTGTAACCGTTGCTTTGGCCGAAAGGAGTTTTTCAAAGTTAAAATTAATAAAAACATATTTACGTTCAACTATGTCACAAGAACGATTAAGTGAATTAGCTATTTTATCTATAGAAAAAGATTTATTAGAAGAACTAGAATATGAAGATCTAATTAATACATTTGCATCTATAAAAGCAAGAAAAATAAATTTTACATAAAAAAAAAAAAAATAATCAGGGCCTCATTTTTGGGTTTCGCCTAGGGTCCCCAATATCCTAGGGCCGGCCCTGAATTCAGGAGATAAGAAGTACACGCAACAGACGATGGGGCAACCTTGGAACTTGTTGGAGATTCCGTCGCCGTCAATAATTGTAGGCGGCCAAAAACAAGGGAAAACAGAAGAATAAAACAAAAGAAATAGAAAAGCAAAGGAAAATAGGATTGGGACCCACCACGGCGGCGGCAACGGCGGCGGAGGCGGCAGCGGAGGCGGAAGCGACGACGGAGGCGATGGCGGTGGTCAACAATGGTTGGCCAGATTTGAGACTTAATGCTTCTAAACGACGTCGTTCCGCAGTTAGCAGAATAGAAGAAAAGCTGAAAGAAAAGAAAAATCAAGCACGCAGGTCGCGGTCGAACTGCTTGAGAATTAAATGGAAAAGAAAAGATTTGTAACGTCTGATTGGAAGACAGATTAGAACGACACAGTTTTGATATTAAATAGGTCAAAAGAAAAGACAAAAGAAAATGCAGTAAAGAAAAAGGGCTTATCCCTATATATATACTTTTTATATATAATATAATTATATATATATATATATATATATATATATATATATATATATATATATATATATATATATATATCTTATATACAAAAGAAAGAAACCTAGGGTAACCTAAGAAACTCTAATGGCATATTTGTAAAAATAAATTAATTTATGTGTAAATATATTTGTTTTATCTCCTATTTTTCGGCTAGCACAGTCATAATCCACTACATCTATATTTTTTTAATGGGTAATCACAAAAAAACCCATGACAAGGGCACTTAATTAAAAGAGGGACATCCAATTTTTCTGTCTTTCAAATAAATTCAGCCCATTCAAACTTATTTGCAAATAAGGAAAATCATTTTATAAATACCAAAATTACCCTCAATTCATTGAAACCCAATTCAACTCCAATTTCATGATTTACACCCCAATTTAGCCCAATTTCATCAATTAACCAATTTTAATCCTAATTTCAATTTTGACCCCAATTTTAACCCTAATTCGTATCAATTCCACCCATTATGCTCTAACTTCTTTAATATTACACATTGTCCCC